CTGGACAAGCAGATGAGCAGGGACGAGCATCGAGCCAGAGCCATGAAAATCCCTTTCACCAACGACAAGATCATCAACCTGCCCGTGGAGGAGTTCAACGAGCTGCTCTCCAAGTACCAGCTCAGCGAGGCGCAGCTGAGCCTCATCCGAGACATCAGGAGGCGAGGCAAGAACAAGATGGCTGCGCAGAACTGCCGCAAGAGGAAGCTGGACACCATCCTGAACCTGGAACGGGACGTGGAGGACTTGCAGAGGGACAAGTCCAAACTGCTCAGGGAGAAGGTGGAGTTCCTCAAGTCCATCCGCCAGATGAAGCAAAAGGTGCAGAACCTCTACCAGGAAGTGTTCGGCCGCCTGCGGGACGAGAACGGCCAACCTTACTCCCCCAACCAGTACGCCCTGCAGTACGCCAGCGACGGCAGCGTCATCTTGATACCTCGCAGCCTGGCCGACCAGCAGGCCAGGCGGCAGGAGAGGAAACAGAAGGACCGGAGGAAGTGAGGGGGGCACGCGGGAGGAGCGGGAGACTCGCTCAAGGTAGAACTGGAGAAGGGCTGAGCCTGGAAGTGCTTAGAGGAACTTTCATGCCTTCTTATCCACTATATCTTCTCAAACATGACTGCTGCCGGTCAGTGTACAGGAGGGACTGCGGGCGCTGCACGCGGCGTTTGAGGGCTCCCTGCGGGGAGGGACGGGGAGGAGCGGACAGTGCACTGGCGAGCCCAGCACCTTCCACAGCCTGGAATCCTTTGAGCGCAGGAATCAAGCTGGCATCACTGGTGGGGAGATCAGCAGAGGCGGAAAAACTACTGTTAGAAACTGGCTTTAAGTAAGAAAGAGATTTAAGCAAATGAACTTAAGCTATAGGAGAGACATTTTTCTGAACTTCCAAAGTTCTGTGATTTCAGGTAGTTGGGTTTTTCTTTTTTTTTTTTTTTTTTTTCCTTTTCCTGAACCAGTTTTGACATCGGTGTGTGTGATTCGACCTGACTTAATTCCAGATTAACCAACATCCCTTCCTAGATCAGACCAGTGCACACATGGAAACACACAAGTGGTGCGACTTCCATTAACCCTTTCCAGTCTGAGGGAGCTCAGGCAGGGCTGGGGGGAGAGCCATGGGTTCCCCGTGGGTTTAGGGTTCCCCATGCATGGTTTGGGGGCACCAAGCGGGGCTGTGAGGCCCTCCTGGGGGGCAGGAGGGGGGGCTGGGAAGGGTTAAGAGGAGCGGTGCGCTGCGCATCCCCACCACACTCACAGAGCATGTCACTGCCGCGCCAGCCCCGTGCTGGGCTGCGTTAGCTGAGAAGGCACCGCAGTAGCCTGCATGCAGCCGCTGCCTTCTCCCACTGACTGGCCGAGGAACCGCTTTGGGGGGACGTGGGGAGGGTGGGGGCAGCCGGGGCCCGTGGGCGCGGGGCGGGTACAGCCCTGAGGAGCGGCACCTTCCTCCCCCGGGCCGCGGGCTTGTCACTTCTAGAAGTAGCCATCCGGTAGGATTCCCGTTCCTTACCCGCGCTTTGATTTTGTAGGGCTTCCGCCCTGTTTTCCCTATAGGGTCTAGAGTGCTTGTGTTGAGTAAAAGGGAGAAGCCCAAACGTTCAAAGCTGCTAAATGTTCTCTTTGCCATAAAGATTCAGTGTAACCGTGTGATCACATTATAGGATTCTCTTCTGTCCCTAGGTGTTGGTCTGACTTCCTTTGTTTTAAGGAGGGGGGTGGGGGTAGTGCCTTGATCACTGTTGGTCTCCGCCATGGAGACGATCCTAGAAGCTGTATTTACAATATAGCACAGCTGGGAGTGTACCGACTTTACCAGCAACTGAAAAGCTTAAAATGGCTTTCGGAGCCAGTCCTGTGCATGTGATACGGGGTGAGGGCGTAGCGCTGAGGGGAGCGGCGCGGAGACGCGGGTGGTAACGGAGGAAACCTGGTAATGCCAGAGGAAGCGAGCTGCTGCCGGGGGGGCTGGAGCAGCCTGGGGCAGCGCAGGGCTGCTGAGAAGGAAGGCGCCTGGCGTGGGCACACCTTTTCCAGGCTGTGGGGAAAGGAGCTGCGGCTCGGGGTGCGGCGTGGGGGGGCCCCGAGGGGCGCGTGGCAGCCACGGCGGGGCTCCCCCATCCCGGACTCCTGCGACCCAACAGCTTTACTTACGCGTGAGATGAAGCACAAGTGGTGGCGATGTGGGTGTGGGGAGGTTGGAATGGAGCCCTGCGTGTATGTTTTAAATTATTTTACTCTTATATACTTTATTTTAATGATCTGTGACCTGTCAGGGAAAGAAGAGAGATTGTGTGAGCACAGGACAAAAAAATAAAACGGCTTATTCACTGTACAAGCATTTGGTTCATGTTTTTTATTTGCCTATTAGTATTTTTTTTTAAGCTGAAGCATGTCAGGGAAACCAAACCCTTTCTGCATGGGTCCTGCCCACCCCCAGCAGCTCCTGGCTCCCTCCGCTGTGCTGCAGCTGGGCGCAGGTCGGGTCTGCCTCCTGCTGCCCTGCAGGTACCGGCCTCGGGGAGGGGAAGGGGAAAGCCTCACCCGGCTTGTGGAAGGGAAACAGGCTGGAGGCTGAGGGGTGCAGCCCCCTGCCACCCCCCCATGGCCCCAGGCTCCCAGAGGCAGCTCCAGGGCGCTCCCCGGGGCGCACAAACGGGCACCTGGCCACAGCCCCGGGTTCAGCCACATCCAGGCCCCAGCACGGGGCTGGGCTGGTGGGGAAGCCCTCAGCCCCCTGCCCTGGGGCTCACCGAGCAGTTTGCACCCGGAGCCATGGGGTGTTAGTTCCAGCTGCCCCCCCAAGGCCCCGGTTCCCCACCTCGCTGGTGCAGGCACTGCCTTTCCCTCACCTGGCCTCTAGTGGGGGGGGCAGCATTGGGTGCAGCTGCTCCTGAGCTCAGAACGAGTCTTAACCACACAGAGCCCACCCCTGAAAGACAGCAAGGCCCTCGGGGGGCACCAAAGCCGTGTCCCCCCCCTCCCAGGCCCACACCCACGACCCGTGCTGCTTTGCTGCCCTCTGGGCCTTCCACCGAGGCCTTCTTGGGGCAAACGCGGCTCCCCCGGGCCTGAACGTCCCCTGCAGGCCCGGCCCTTCCCTGCCTCCATTCCACGGAGCCGTTCGCCTGCTGCTGCCGGGAGCTGGGCGCGGAGCCCAGGCCAGCTCCACACAAGCGAACAGCTCAGCCAAGGGGAACGCAAAGCATTAAAATACTCGCTCGGAGGTGGTTCCAGTCTCTTCCCGGGCCCTGGGGGATTTATTTCAGCTCTTACTTCAGGGCCTGTTTTAGAACTTAGTATCGGCTTGCAAAGAAAACCAAAAAAAAAACCCCGGAGGATTTCCCCCGCCCCAGTGGCGCTCAGGGAAGGGCCCAGCCCTGCGCAGCGGGGGCAGCGGTGCCATTTCTGCCTCTGCAGAACGGGACCTTTGTGTCTGCTCCTGCTGGCAGCCCGCCCTCGCCCGCACGCCTCTGCACCTCCAGCCCCGCTGTGAGCCACAGCAGCTGCCCCGCAGAGCCTGGAGGTGTCCCCGTGCGCCGCCCTGGGCCCTGGCTCCTGGACCCCGGCTCCCTGCCTGGACCCCGACCCCGGCCATCGGGGGCAGTGAGGGGCTGGCCGGATGCGCGTTTGAGCTGCTCGCGGCAGCGCTGCCCCTTCCCCGGCGTGCCCCGCGCTGTCGGAGGCGCAGGCTGCCTGCCAGCCCCTAATCAGGTGAAGAGCAGACCTTTCATTTTCCGAGGCAGGAAGCACTCAGCCACCAGCGGGGCCTCCTGCCTCTGATCTCAGCGAGCGCCCTGGATTTAACGAGCGTCCGGCTGCGGGTGCCCCCAGTGCAGGCAGCAGCAGGCCCAGCCCGACCCAGCCCAGAGTGAGGAGCCCGCAGGCCGAGCGGGGCAGAGCCCGTACCCAGCTCCCAGGCACAAAGCACCCGCAGTGCCCACGGGGCCGGCTCCAGCTCCCCGGGCGGTGCCGCATCCCCCTCAGCCCCCTGCCCCAGCCAGAGCCGTGGTGCCGGGGCCCCGCTCGCAGCTTCCCGTGGCCATCGATCGCCCCAGAGCCTCCCCGGGGAGCCGCAGCCCTCTTACGCTCAATTAAGTGGACGTTACTCCTTCCAACTCTAGTGATTAATACGGGTTTAATTGCTGCTGCTGCTGGGGCAGGGCAGGCATTTCCCCGCACCGCTGGGTAGGGGCCATGCGAGGAGCCCGGCTTTCAATGGGCTGCATAGTTTTGCAGCCCTAAGTGCTGGCAGGCGCTGGCAGAGCGGCCGAACACCACCCAAAACCTCCCTGCTGCTCCCTGCTCCGTCCCCCACCCTGCGAATGCTGGAACCTTCTGTGCCAGACAGCACCAGTCCTCCTTGGGACAGTTCTGCCCCCGCCGCTGTCACCGCACTGGCCTGGGCAGGGCTGGGCGGGTTTGGGTGGGTCCCTCCACAGGAGCTTGTGGCCTTCCAGCAAGGCCAAACCAAGCGTGAAGCGCTGCCCTTGCCATCTTCAGCCGGTCACCAGAACCAGTGCCAGAGCTTTAAAAACCCGTCCGCAAGCACAAAGTGCCAGAGTCTGCTCAAGGTCCGAGAACCGAAGGAAAGGGCACTTACCCGCCCCGCAGGGGAGCCCGGCGCCGGGGCAGCTGCAGCGCACGCTTCCCGTTCAAGCAGGAATTTGGAGCACTTCAAACGGGTCCCAAAGCAGAGCTGCTCTTCTGGCCTCCAGGAGCCTCCTTGCCTCAGGCCTCTGGACACTGAGCTCCTCTGCGACACCTCTCTTCAGCCGGAGGTCACAGTGAGGCAGAAGCTGCCGCCGGCTGCTCCGAACCTCCCGTCGCTGCCGCCACCTAGATCAGAGCCAGCGGCCACCTCGGGCTGCATCAGAGCTACCCCTGCTCAGCACGAACCGCGACTGCAGGCTAACTGCCCTCTGTGACCTGCTCTACACCTCGTCACTGATCTCACGCACAAAGAGCTGGAGGAAGGAGCAAGGTAGAGAAGAAAAAAATCAGGATTATAAATCTAAAATTTTATTGAGACAAAAAACTGACGGAGCTTGGTATGAAGTTAAAATCCAAACACGTACTTTACATTTAAACAACGTTTTCACAGAAACCTAAACACATGCTTTAAAAAAAGGTTTGTACAATGCAAGTCTAGATACATACCACCCTACGAGGAGGTGCCAGGAGTCTGGTGGGGCTCATGACTCCAGACATTAAATAGTTCAGTATTTGTAATAAATTGGATTAAAAAAAAAAAAAAAAACCCTCAGAAGATTCAGGGTAACTCATCTGGCACCAGCACCAACGTCTGGCTTCCTACAATCACTTGGTATGGGAGAACGTGGAATTGATTTTCCTTGTGCTGCTGTTGGTTTCCTCTCTCCCCCATGCGATAAAACTGCAGGGTTCCCCATGCTGCTGGCTGGACACTCAAATTAAGGTGAGAAAAGGAACAAGTAGTCAGAAGTCTCTCTCCCCCCGATTTTGAGAAATAGCACCTTGTAATGGAAAGAAGGGTAGAAAGGCTTTTAAGAGGTTAAAAATCCCTTCCTACCCCGCACCCCCCCACCCCCCACATACAATGCATGTGTCAGTAACTGGCAGTTCTGCTTCAGGACAATACGAATCACAAGTTTGCATTTTCACAAGTCTCCCCTCTCCCCCCTCCCCCCCTAAAAACTGCTTCCAGGGCTTTGAGGACCTTGGCTCCAGAGCTTTGGACATTCACAGTTTCAGTCTCGTGTCAGTGTCCCTGTCTCCCTAGTTCTGTCATCAATACTGGGCTCTTTTTTTTTTTTCTTTTTTTTTTTTCCTGTTTTTCTTTTTTTGAACTCAGGTTCTAAAAAAGATCTGGAAATGATCTGGAACATTGTCACCAGACCTCATCTCCCTCCCTCCCCAATTAAACAAGAGACCGATTTCCCCACATCCCTCCCCCCAGCCCCCCCAAACCGATACACCAGTAAATAGCAAAAGAACAAAAAAAAAAAAAAAAAAATCTACACACATGCTACGCCGTAAAAATGCAGAGTTAACACTATTGGGAAGAAGGCTGTGGGTTGCTGAGATGGTCTTTGAAGAACAAGCAGTATCCGTCTGCACTCCCTTTCCCCAGCCCACCCACCCCCAGTGCCAGTCCTCCGTGGAAGGGGCTTTGCCTCCTCTCCCACGAGCCGCAGAATGGACAGCCTGGAAACAAACATCTGCACCCCGCACCCCCCGCCCTTCCCTCCCCCCCCGTGAGCCGGGCTGCTTGGAATCTGTACGCAGCATGAAGCCGCACAAAGCCGTTGAGCAGCTGCAGGGCACAGAAACCATACTGGTCTCTTCAAAGGGCATCTTCTCCAGCCATCTCTACGCTCCCGACCGAGCCGAGCTGCGTTCTCTCCCTCCTGCTCAAACCCACAGTTCAGATCTTTACACAGAGGCTGGCCAGAGCGGGCGCCAGGGGTTAGTTCTTGTCCTCTTTCTTGTCATCGTCCTCCGAGGGGTAGGAATGCCATGTCAACCGCTCCTCATAGAACGAGATCACCACCTGGGGGCACTTGATGTTGGCTTCCTTGGCAGGGACCAGGTCGGCCTCGTCAGAGTTCTTCCTACAGGCCAGAGCAGAGGTGCAAGTTAGGGGGCTGCCGAGGAGAGGAGGCAGAAACGGAGACCGGAGAACATCAAGAAGCAGCTGGAAAACCGAGCAGGTGCCCAGGCCGCTCGGGGGATCCTGGCAAACCCTTCCTGGGTGGCTCTGGAGCCGGGAGAAGCAGCACTGAGCCCGGGCTCTGCGTCGTCAGGCACGGGGACGGCGGCCGAATCGCAGCCCTGCCCCGGCCGCTCCGTGCTCCTGAGGCACCGCGGGAGGCGGCGGCTCCCCTGCCCGGCTGCCTCGGCTCCCACCTGCGCCAAGCCCAGCTCCACGACGGCCGACGGGGACGCGGTCATCGTCACGGCTCTCCTGGGGCGCAGCCGTCCGAGCTGCCGCCCGCACCACGACACCGAGCCCCTCTCTCGCCCCAAGCTCGCGCCTGCTGCGGGGACATCTTAAGAGCCGCGCAACCCCGAGGGCCCTACCTGCTCGCTTCACATCCACGTTAGCCTCAGCGCAGAGGGTCACCTCAGGCAGCAGCGCCATCGCAAGAGATCTCATGCCAGGTAGCAGGGACTCCCCGGGCGCAGGTCCTTCCCTCTCTGGCACAGAATAAGTGAAGAAATGACAGACACCAAGACGCACTCACCACTTCATCAGGAACATCAGCTCCCCGCTGGAGTCCGTGGCACCGATGATCCGTTCCGGCTCAAAGCCCCGGGCAAAGCCTCGCGGTTTCTCCGACTGCAAGAGACGAGTTCCCACTTGTAGCACCGAGGGGCGGCAGCCACAGCCCTGCTCCAGCTTAGGGACGCGCCGCGGGCTGCTCACAAAGGCACCGAGCTTTGGGCTGCAGGGACTAAGGGCAGCGGGGCGCCGAGCAGACAACGCGGGTGCAACTGCGCTCAGCTGAGCTGCCCCGGGACAGCACACCCTGCTCGTGCTGCAGAGATCGGATTGCCCAGGCCTGGCCACTCAAACCCGGGCTGGCCACGATCCAGCAGCTCCTGGGATGCAGAGGAGGCTGCACGGCCTTGTCCCAGGCAGCTATGAGCGCCCTGTGAGGCTCTGCTTCGCCTCGTTCCCTCTCCTGAAGGGGCAACCCTGCCTCCCGCTTCATCCCCCTGTGCGGATGTTCCAGAGCAGCTGCAGCTCCGGGCCTTTTCGGTTCAAGAACTGGTCTCAGTTCAGTGCTAGCACTAGCTCTGGGTTCTCTGTGCAGAGCTGGGGAGCCGAGCAGACACCCCACCCCATCTCACCTCCTCCTTCTTCTTCTTTGGTTTGCTCTCTTCCCCCTTATCCTCCGTGTCAGATTCTGCTTTGCGTTTGCTCCCCTCGGACTTCTCGCTCTCATGGGCGGTTTTCTGGGACTGAAGGAACTCAGCGATGAGGTCTGGGCAGTCAAGGTTCTCCTCCGGCTCCCATGTGTTATCCTCACTGCAACCACAGACAACGGCCTCGGTTTACACACAGGGACCACGCACAAAGCCCCGGACACCAGGGCGAGTAGAAACGCAGAGAAAAGCAGCAGGATGATGGTGTCCTCGCCCCACGGAACAGGGCAGGGATGCCAGGGGCCAGGGCAGGCATTTCCCTTCTCAGGAAAGGAAAAGCAGCTCATTTTATCCAGCCGCTTGTTTCACACTCCGTTGAAGGGGTGGAAGCCCCACTAGGCTGTGCTCACAGCACCCCGATTAGAGCTCAGGCTGTTGAGCACTGCCGTTCTGTTACTGTATGTGTAATTCTGACTGCTCTTGGCCTGGTAGCTCCATTTTACAGACAAGGAGGCCCGGGGACATGCAGCCAGCTGCTCGGAGAGCTCCGGGAGCTGACAGCAGAGCTGCTCCCTCCCAGCAGCATAGCCCAGCGCCTGCCCCGCAGCCACTTACTCGGAGAAGCCTTTCCACTTCAGCAGGTATTCCACCTTGCCCTTCACCACCCGCCGGTCCAGGACCTTCTCCACCACATATTCCTCCTCCTCTTCCTCTAAGACCTCTTCCACTTTCTTCTTGTTCTGTTTTTTTCCCATTGTGCTGGCCAGTTTTTCGGCTTGTGGGCGACGCTGCTGGAAGGGGAGAGGACAACACAGGGTGTCAGGGTCAGGCGGGCACAGACCCAGCACAGCACCCAGCTGTGCTCGGAGGGGAGAGGCGCCCACAAGGCGGGCAACGCGCTCGGTGATGGGCCAGGAGGGCCCTGCCTGGTGGGGACAATCGGGGACCTCCAGGAGCTGCCGCCTTCACGCGGTGCATTCTGACGCAGCCTTGGCCCTCCCGTGTCCCCTGCACCTTCTGTCACCCCCAGCACCCTGCCCAACCCTCCCCGTGCCCCGCCGGGCGCTGTCCTCGTTTCCCACACACCCCTCACACCCCAGCGCTGCCCCCGGCCTCCAGAAGCGAGGCAGCCCCCCTGTCAGCTGCCCCCGCCCTGCTGAGCCCCCCCCCCCGTCTCTTCCCTCTGTGCCCCTCAGCTCTCCGCCCTTCCCTGGCTCAGCTCAGACAAACCCCGCAGAGCCGCCCTGCAGCTCGCTGCTGACATTAATTAGGGGTTAATGAATGGTTGATCCCCGTTAAACACAAGGCACAGCCCCTGGTCCTGATGCTCCCCTCGTCCCTTCCTTTGGGGGTTCAGGTACGTGCACAGCGAGGAGACCCACCTCGCTCACCACCCCTGAAGGTGATTTTTCCCAGCCTCCTTGTCTTTGAGCTGTTTCACAGCCAGCACGGGGACAGCCCCCGGCACCCCGGGCACCCCAGGACGCTCCTCGGGCTCGGGAGGAGCACAGAGCCCCCCACCTGCAGCCCCAGCAGCAGCTCCTGCTCCACGCCGAGCAAGGCGCACCGATACGGACCGACCCGAGGGCCAGGAGGCTGCATAAATTTTGCATAAAACCTACACAAATCGGGGCTATTTCACCAGGCACGACACAAACACTGCGGGTTTGCACCAGCCGAGGGGTGAGGAGCCCCCAAGCCCCCCTGAGCAGCAGCAGGGAGCTCCCCCCAGGCGGGCGCTGCTGCTCCCGGGCCTTTCATTAACCAAACACCCGCAGCCCGCACCCAGCTCCCGGTGACCAAGTTTTCCTGCCCGGTCCCTCGGGGGAAAAGCAAACGCTGCCGGCAGGCACCGGGCCGGGGCCGTGCAGGGTCTCTCCCCTCCCGAGGCCTCCTCCGGGCCGTAGGCGGGGCCCAAACAATGCGGAGCCAACGCCAGCGCCTAATCCCCAGGCCGGAGCCAGCGCTGCCGCAGGAAGCCGGGGTCGGGTTTCACTCTGGAATTCCTCCGGCGGCTCCTTCCTCCCCTCCTGGCAGCTCCTTCCTCCCCTGTCCTCCCCGCTCCGTGGCCGAGGAGGCTCCTCGAGGCAGCCCTGTCCCGGCAGGGTTTGTGGGGCACCTTCCCGAAAATGCCCAGCACCGAGGCAGCGAGCGGGGCAGGCAGGGGAAGGGGAAGCAGAGGGGCTCGGAGCAGTGCAGGCACCAACCGTGCTGAGGAGCCACCGATTACTGTGGGGAGGGCAGAGAAGATGCAGATGTGAGGGCAGGAGCCCTGGGGAAGCCCTGCCAGAGGGAGGCAGGGACAAACCGCAGGGGGCCACGAGAACATGGCAGCTCTGGGCCCGCTCTGTGCAGCACGGGCTGGGCCTGGCCCCATTCCTGGCCCTGTTCCTATGTCCCGCTCCTGCTCCTGCCCCACTGGCTGTGCTCCTGGCCCTGCTCCCGCAGCAGCCAGGAGGGTGCCGGGGGGGGGGGTGAGGGCTGCAGCCCCTCGCGGTGCCAGCCCCGGTTCCAGCTGTGGAGGCGCAGCAGGGGCGAGCTGTGGCCCAGGAGCATGACCCAGGGACTCCAGCCCCAGCGAGGTGAGGGCTTCGCGCTGCCTCCACCCACAAAGCTCCCAGGCTCTGCCCTCGCCCCAGCCCAGGGCTGCCTTTGTGGAGCCCTTGACAAGGATTTCAGCCTTCTGCCACCGGGAACAGCCCAACCCAGAGCCCCAAACCCACCTCAGCAACACCCGGAGTGCCGGCCGGCGCCTGCTCCCCGGAGAACACAGCAGAGCTCAGACAGTCCCCAAGGACTGGGGAAGGCAGCACAGGGAGGGCTGGCCACAGGCGGGCTCCTGGCCCCGGAGCTCCTAAAGAACGCCTCGAGGTGGCACCGAGCTCCTCACGGAGGTGCAGGACTGGGCCGTGGCCCTGCCTGGGCCGTCTGAACAGGGCAGGCAGCTCCTCTTGGCTGCGGGACCGCTCACGCCTAAAGAATTTGGGGGTGGATCCTGGGCCCAGAAGGGACCTTGCGAGCAGCACGCTGCTTCCCGGAATTCAGCTCCAGAAGGCTGATCTCTGGTCCTGCCCTAAGCCTTTCCCTTTGCCTCTGCTGCTTCTTACCTAACGCCCAAGGCACAGCTGAAACCCTTCGTGAAGAGGAAAACAGAGGAGGGAAAGATCGGAAGAATGACTTCTTGGTCTGCGGCTAGGAGGAAAAGGATCCGGGACACACCTAAGCCACTTGAAAAGAATTCAAACTGCAGCGGAGAGCCAGGAGGGAGGAGGCCCAGCACCGAGGTGCACACAGCAGCCTGCTCGGGACGGGAGCAGCGGGCAGGGGAGCGAGGGGCAGGGCTCAGAGCACAATCCCTGGGCTCAGGTCCCCTGGGGCACCACATCCAGGCGGCACCACGGCCACCGGCCCCGCAGCGATGCTGTGGGGATGGCGAGGAGCTGCCCAGCACCGTTAGCTCGGGGGACACCCGGGAATGGGGAGCGCGGGGACCCAGAGGCTCGGTCAGAGCCCGGAGCAGCCCCGTGAGCCGCATCCCACGGGGCTGACAGCGCAGCTCGGCTCTAAGGAGTCTGAAACTTCCAACGCTTCCTCCTCCCGCCCGCCTCTGACCCGCCAGGAGCGCTCCTCTCCTTAAGGGCCTCCGAGCTCGCCCGGTGCACCCCGCACACACGGGGCCGGCAGCGGGGAGCAGCGCTCGGAGCCTCGCGCCCCAGAACCGGACCCCGACCGCAGCAATCGGGGGGGGGGGGGGGGGGGAATGAGCCAAAGCCCGGAGCCTCCGAGCTGGGGCCCAAAGCGCCCAAAAGCCGCAACCGCCGGGGAGACCCAGCCCGGGGGGGGGAACCGGGGCAAAGCTCGGGGAGACGGGGACAGGGGCGGGGGGCGCCGGGGGGGGCTGCGGGGCTCCGCCGGGCTCCAGCGCGGGGCCCCCGGGCCTGGGGCGGCCCCAAACCCGCCGGGGGCTGCCCGGGGCCGTTGGCCGGGCCCAGCCCCCCGGGACCGGGGCCTCGAGGCCGCCCCCAGCGCTGCCCCCGGCCCCCCCCCGGGGTCTCGGAAGCCCCGGGACGGAGCCGCCGCCCCCAGCCCCGGGGCCGCCCCCCCCGGGCCTCCCTCAACCCCGATCCCCCCCCCGGCCCCTCCCCCCCCCTCCACAGCCCCAACCCCGGCCCCGGCCCCCCGGGGGCCCCCCGGGGCTCCCCCCCCGGCCCCGCCGCCCCCCCCGTCCCGGTGCCGCCCCCCCCCCGCCCCCCTCGCACCTCGCCCAGCGCCGCCAACGGCTCCGAGGAAGCGGCTGCGGGCGGCGGGGGGGGGCCGGGGGGGGCCGGGCCGGGGCCTGGCGCGCGCCGTCCGCCTCCGCCGAACAAAAGAGCCCGGCCAGCCCCGCTGCCCGCCGCGCGCACCGCGCCTGCGCCGCGACCCGCGCCCGCCGCGGGGCACGCTGGGAGCTGTAGTCCCCGCCGCCGGCCGGGGCGGGAGGAGCCGAAGCGCCGCGGGGCGCCGCGGGAGTTGTAGTCCGCCGCCACCGCCCGCCCGCCGCCCCGATGGGACTCTCCGCCCCTCCGCCGTGCGCGGAGACGGGCGGCCGGCACCGGGAGGGGCGCGGAGAGGCGCGGCAGGGCCCCGCGGGGCGGCCGCCGGTGGCCGGAGGGTGCGGGCCGCGCCCCAGCGCCTGAGGCGCGGACTCCAACTCCCATCATGCCCTGCGCCGGAAGGGGAAACGCGGCCCTGGCTATAAGGCCGCCGCGCCGCCGTGAGGCTTAAAGGGGCCGCGTCCTGCGCGAGGAGGTGAGGGGGGGGGGCGGGGGCAGCTCGGTGGGGCCGGGCCGGGCCCCGCAGCCTCGGGTGGGGACGCGGGGAGGGCCCGGCCCGGCCCGGCCCCGGTGTCCCCCAGCTCCGGTGCGGCCTTGTCAGGCCCCCTCCTAGCCAGGAGCGGGAGTCGGGCCCGGCCCGGCGGGGGCTCCACGGGGGGGCCCGGGGGGGGCTGGGTCCGTGTCCCCCCCCCCGGCCGGGGCCCACCCCCCCCATCCCCGCAGCGCTGGCTCCGGGCCGGGGCCGGGGCCGGGGCGGGGCACCGGGAGCTGCCCGCGGCGGGACGGGGCCGTGGGAGCCCTCGGCAGGGCCCGGAGCCGGGTGCGCGGCCTCGCCTCACTCCGTCCCCTGTCCCCGTGCAGATGTTTCCCGCTGGGCTCGGGCTCTAGGATGTTGGAGGGCCGCGAGGAGGTGAGGGGCGGGGGGGGGCGGTGAGGGGCGGGGGTCGGTGAGGGGCCGTGAGGGGCCTTCGGACCCGGTGTTAGCTCCGGGGCTGGAGCTGGGCAGCGCGGGTGTGAGCAGCCCTGGGCTGAGCACCACGGAGAGGGGCGCTGGGCGCTGGGCAGGGCCGGGGGGCGGCTGGTGCCGAGGGCGGAAGGGGCCGGGGGCTCCCCAGCTGCCCATGTGGGCGTTGTGCTGCCGGGGGCAGGGCAAGCGGCACGGGCCGGGGGGCACCGACCCCCACGAGGGGGGCGATGCTGGGGCAGCCTCTGGGCGCTCAGGCAGCGTTTGTGCCGCAGGAGCTGACCACGGTGCGTGTCCAAGACCCCCGGGTGCAGAACGAAGGCTCCTGGAACTCCTACGTGGATTACAAAATCTTCCTCCACGTAAGCTGTGGCTGCTGCAGGGGGGTGGGGTGGGGCGGGGGGTGGGCTGCACAGCTCGGCTGTGCCGGGCGGGAGGCGCGGGAGCGGAGCTGCCAGGCCCCGTGTGGTGGTGCTGAGTGGGGACGGGAGGGGCAGGGCCCTGCCTGCCCCTAGGGGAGCCCTCACCCAGCCCCTCCCTGCCTCTGCGGCAGCCCCGCGTGGTTGGAGATCGGCTCCTCACGTCTTCAGCGCTCCCCGAGTGCTGCGGGGGGATCCGTAGCCACTGAGCTCAGGGGTTTGAGCGGCTGAGACCCTGCCCTGGCCTGCCTTAACCTCAGGATTATTTCATGCTTTTGTTTCTGTCTTTGCAGACCAACAGCAAGGCCTTCACTGCCAAGACCTCATGTGTGCGGCGCCGGTACCGTGAGTTCGTGTGGCTGCGGCGGCAGCTCCAGAAGAATGCTGGCCTGGTGTAAGCCCTGAGCTCCCTGCTCCCCCCTCGGTTCCATGGACCTGGGGGGGGCTTTCCCCAGACACAGACACGGGACCCTGCAGCCCTGGCCTCCAGCTGCTGCCAGCCGTGTCCCATCTCCGTGCTCTGACCCTGAGCTGCGGCACCTCTCTTCCTGCAGGCCCGTCCCAGAGCTGCCTGGGAAATCTGCCTTTCTTTGTGGGCAGCACGGATGAATTTATTGAGAAGCGGAGACAGGGGCTGCAGCAGTTCCTGGAGAAGTGAGTGAGGCTCCTGCACACACCTCTGCAAGGGCTGGGCGGGGCAGAGCAGGGGATGCTGCTGGCCATGCGGTGGAGCCGTGGGGGTCACCCTGGCGGCGTGGGGCGTGCGAGCCGTCGGGCAGGCTCTGCGTGCTCCCCGGGGCCGCCCTCGCTCACCCTGCCCTCTCCTCACGCAGGGTCGTGCAGAACGTGGTGCTGCTCTCGGACAGCCGGCTGCACCTCTTCCTGCAGAGCCAGCTCTCGGTGCCCGAGATAGAGGCGTGCGTGCAGGGCCGGGGCACACAGACGGTGACGGACGCCATCCTGCACTACGCCATGTCCAACTGCGGCTGGGCGCAGGAGGAGGAGAGCCGCCCCGCGCTGCTGCCGGGGGGGGCCCTGCGCGGCAGGTAATGGGCAGGGGAGGGAGAGGCCGAGCTGAGGGCATGCGGCGGGGCAGAGCCCGGCTCCCCTGCGGTGCCTGGAGCTGCTCTGTGCTGGCCTGAGCAGACCTGGTGTGTGGCAGCACTGCGAGGCGGCTGGGGACTTGCTGCCTGCACATCCCCTCCCCTCACCTGCAGGGCTGGCTGCAGCCCGGCTCGGAACAGTCGCTGCCCGTGCAGGGGTTCCCCTGGTAGGGAACAGCCCCTGCTGTGACACGAGGAGCTGCCAGGCTTTGCAGAGCCCCCTGGGTGTTTCTGAGCTGCCTGTCCCGACCTTGCTGCAGTCCTGTAAGCTGAGCAGGCGGAGTTCCTGCAGTGAGGGGAGCAGGGCTGCCTGTCCTGGGCTGTCACCAGCATCTCCTGTAGAGCCCTGGGGGCTGCCAGCAGGGTGACCTGCTCTGGCCTGTGGCCGGGGCTTAGTGGGGAAGAGCTGAGTCTCCCAGAGCTTAAGCTGCGATTTACAAACGTCTTCGGATGCTTTCCTCCCCTAATCTCTGTGCCGAGGAGCCTCTGAGGCTTTCACAGTGTGGGCTTTCCACGCGTTGTCCGGGTGCCTGCAGCGTGCCTAAGGAGGTTCTGCGATTCCCCATCAGCCGCAGAGCCCTGTTCAGGTTCAAGGGAGGGGGTTTCGGGAAGGCAGCAGCCCAGGCTACCTGTGGGTGTGCGTGGCGTGGCTCCGTGCAGCCGCCTGCACCCTGCTGCGGGGAGGGGAAGCCGCCCTGGCTGGGCAGGGGGGGCTGTGCCACGGGGCTGGGGGGAGCAGTGGGCGCCCTGCCCCTTCCCCAGGTCCCCGCGCTCTGACCTCTCTCCCCGTGCTCTCCTTTCAGCTATGCCAGCCTGGGGGGCCCGCAGGGGCCCGGCTGCCTGGAGCCCCTCCCGCACTGGAGCGACTTTGGCATGGACGAGAGCTGCTCGGACAGCCCGGCTGAGCCGGCCGAGCCCTTGGGCGGACCGCAGGAGGGGCAGTGAAGGGCTCTAGCGACCTCGCCTGCCTTCCCCGGGACCTGCAGCCCTCGCTGGAGGAGGGCCCGCCGGCTGAGCCGGGGGGATGGCCGGGCTGGGGCTGCACTGGGAACGCAGCCTGGTCCTGGCTCTGTGGGGTCTGGGGCTCCGGGGCTCTCTCCTTGCTGCCTCTCAGCTGTCCTCGATGTCCCAGGCAGCGTGTTCGTGTGGCTTTTCTCTTCCGAGAGGAGATTTAGTGATTAGTGAAACCTGTGTTTGTTGTTCCCACGGCCTTTGCTCTCTGTGCGGAGCAGCAGCAGCTCGGGCAGGCTGCAGTGGCATGCAGGGCCCGAGGTTCCGGGCAGGTCCCTGGCCCAGGGCAGGGGGAGGCACATGTGGAGCCTCAGACGGGTTCATCCCCTGTCCCCTCTGCCTGGAGGCTGCGTTGCCCCGCTGACAGCTGCCCCGTGCAGCTCCTGGGGTGCTGCTCTCAGCTGCACGGAGCCCACCCGCGGGCTGCATCCCCTGCCCACACCCGGGGGCTCCTGGCAGTGTTTGCCCCCTGGGCTGCTCACGGCTGGGACAAATGGCAGTGAGACCCCCGGGGCTGGGGGGCCGTTTGTCTCCCCGAGGTGTTTGTGGGGCCGCCCCTTCCAGCTGGGATCCCGCAGGAGAGCAGAGCTCAGCACAGGGTTGCCACGCACAGTGGGGAATGGGAATGACAAGGGGAAGGGACTGGGGGTCTCACAGGCAGGGCACAGTTTGCTGGGGGCGAAGCAGCGTGCAACGGCCTCGGGGTCGGTGTCTGGCAGCGCTTGGGCTCTGCTTACTCCTGCTGCTGCTCCCTGTGCTCTCCTGCACCTTTTCCTCTATCCTGAGCACTGGTGGAGGCAGAGCCGACGTGCTCTGACTTGAAATAAAACAAAGTAGAAGAGACTTGCTGGTTGCTGGCAACGTCTGTCCTCGCTGCGTGGGTGGAGGGAGCCAGGCTAATTGTAGCTCGATGGCTTCGGGGGAGAGAGCCGCTGATTGCACCTCGCCTGCCGTGGGGCTGCTGCGCCGAGGGGCCCGACCCTGCCGGGGGCAGCTCAGCCCTGAGCAGAGGGGCCAGGGGGTCTCCGAGCCGGCACAGGGGGAGCTGCGGGGTGGTGGCAGGGGACACACGGGGGGAAGGGGCTCCGCCGTGGCTCTGGGGCGAGTTCCCTGGTGCTGGGCCTGCCTGGGGGGCTCTGCACCCGCACGGGGAGGGGGCTCCTTGGGGAAGGGGGGGAGGGCTGGGAACCCACCGCGCCGCAGCCGAAATGTCAGGAGAAGTTCATTGCGAAGGCTGCAGCTGCCGGAGCGCCGGGGAGCCGCTGCCATTGGCTGCCCTCCCTCATCCATATTCATGGCTATTCATGAGCCTGCGGCTCCAAATGGCGCAGCTGGGAGCCCAGCTGTGGCCACCGACCCTCTCCTGTGGCCACCGACCCTCCCCTGCGCCCACGCGCGGCCCTCGCCCACGCGCCGCATCCCGCAGCGCTGCTCCCTTGGCAGGGTCGTGCCCAGCCCTGGCTCCTGCAGCCCCTGAGCGGGGTTTGAGCCAGGAGCTCAGCCCGGCACCGCTGCCCTGCTCGGGGCACCCTCTGCTTGTGCCGTGCCAGGAGCCGGCCCCGGGGCTTCCTTCTGAGGGGGCTCGGGGCTGGGGCAGCCGCTGGAGCCAGGGCTCGGTCCTGGCACCGCGCTGGGGCCTCCTCGTGCTGCGGGTGCCCACCCTTCCCCCGGGGACGCAGCTGCTGCCCCAAAGCTGGCTGCGGTTCAGAGCCAGGCGGAAATTATTTTTAGCGGTGTTGATCAGCTTCACAAAGCTGTCGGGAAAACAGTGACTCAGAGGCAGGGTGGGGGGAGCAGGGAGCTGAGCAGCGCTGCGCCCCCCCTCCAGGGCCACTGGGAGCCCCGGGGGCTGCACGCAGAGGGCTCCTTCTCTGCACAGCCGGGGGGGGGCCGGGCCCCTCTGCCACGCTCGAGGCTGGCTCAGCCCCCGGCCTGATGTGGGGTGGGCGCTGCTGCCCCCGAGCAGCCTGCTGGGGCACAGCCTGCCAGGCACCGGCACCGGGCAGGGGCTGCGTGGGCGCCCCTCAAGGCAACTGCCCCTGCCCAGCACAGGGGAGGGCAGCTGGCCCCCCCCCCCCCCCCCCGGCCAGTGCCCCCGCAGCCTGGCACGTCCCTGTGCTCCTCGCTGCCTGCCAGGAACAGCCTTGCTGCCTGGACGCGGGCCAGGCTCTCCAGACAGCGCATCCTCAGCTCCCCCCCGGGAGGGCTCTGTCTCAGCTCTGTGCAAACAACCCACAGGCACATGGCCCCCCCCAGCCCCGGCACAAGCCACAGACTCCGGCTGCGCCTCAGGGTTGGGCTCTGGGAGCGGCCCCGAGCACCCTGCGCCCGGCTCCCCCTCCCCAGGTATCGCAGTGGAGCCAGGGCAGGACGAGGCCTCTGCAGGAGCTGGTGCGGAGCGGGGTGGGCTCCTCGCTGCAGCGAGAGGAGCGAGCCGGGGCCGGCCTCCAGCACAGCAGCTCCCCAGGGAAGGGCTCTGCAGCCCTGGAGCTGGGCAGCAGGAAGGCGAGGGAAGGCGCTGCTGTGCTGCGTGGCTCCTCCTGGCCCTGGGGTGGGTGGGAGGCAGCCCTCACCCCCTCTCCCCGCCCTGCAGCTCCCCATGCAGGGGCCTGTGCTGCCCTTCCCAGCCGAGCTGAGCCCCGGGTGGCCCAAATCTGCCCTTGACAGCCAAGAAATGCCCGGCCAGGAGGAGCCCCTGCCGCTGTGAGCCAGGCCCTGCACAGCAGCCTGCTGAGGAAACGGGTACCAGGCTGTGTCCATCCCTGGCCCTGCAGCCTCACACCGGGGGGGGGGTCTCACAGGGCCCCCCCCGGCTGTGCCCAGCTTCCAAACATCCCCACGTCTCTGCTGACGCTGCCCCGGCTGCGTGGGGCTGCGCCCAGGGGGTTCGGGCCCCCCCCGGGAAGCTGCCGAGCGCAGGAGCTTACCACCACCTAGCGGCCCTGCTGCCAAGTGCGGGGCCAGGAGAATGAGCCTGGGCCGGGGGCTCTGCGGCTGCTGCTCCGAGCTGGGGCTGGGGGGCAGCGGCTGCCCCAGTGCTGCCCGCGCCCAGCTCTGGCTCCGGACCGGTGACAGAGTTGAAACAGAGCCAGAGCAGCCAGGCACGGAGAGGAAAATGGCTTTATTGCGGGCTGCCGGCACCCCCACAGCCCGGAGAGCTCGACCCCATCCCCGTGGGTCTGGGCGGGGGAGGCTGGGGGTGCCCGGGGGCTGCAGCGGGTGCTGGGGGCAGGTCAGGGCTCCAGGACCCCGCGTGGGGCCGGGATCTTGGTGCAGCAGGTTCTGGTAGGAGGGGGCGCCTGGCGCTGGGGTCGGTCTGTGCAGGATCCACCTGGATTTGGGGAGGGGGAGAGAGCACTGACGGTGGGGAAGAGGCCGCCGAGACACAGCCCGGCCCCACTCACATCAGCGGGGCAGTGCGAGGGGAGCGCCTGAGGGGCCGTGTGGCAGCGCCCCTGGCACCCCCAGCCCTGCAGCCCCTGGTCACTGCTGTGCTGGGCACGGTGGGGACTTCCCTGAGCTGTGCCCGTGTTTGCTGGCCTCGCGGTCTCACAGAAAGCAGAGACCAGAAGATGGAGCCAGACGGTCCTGGAGGCAGAGCAGAGCCCCCTCCTCAGCACCCACCTCCGTGCCCTTCCCTGCAGGTGCACCCTGGGGTGCCGCCCCTCACCTGGGTGCCACGGTCCTCATCACTCCTCCAGGTCGTAGGCAGCCACCAGGTAATCCTTCGGGACGATCCCAACGGTGTTGTTGAGCTCCCCGACCCACCAGCCGTACATGTTGTACTCCTGGGGAGGCACAGCAGAGGGGGGGGGTTAGTGCTGGGGCAGCGGGCACGGCCCCGCTCCCGTCCTTCAGTGGCTGGATTTACAGAGAGCAGCCCGCACCACGAAAATCCCCCAGACCCCCCTGTCCCCTGTAAATCCTGTTGGGCTGCACCTCAGCCCTATCCTTCCTCCTCCCCTGCTCTCCCCTTTGTGTCCCAGGCCCTTGCCCCCGCAAGCCCCCAGGATGCTGATGGAAAACACGGCGTGGGGGGGGACAAGGGGCTACCTCCCCTGCTCCCTCACGTCCCCCGTGCCTTCCCATCTTCTCCAGCCAAGCAGGAAAAATCCTGCTGCAAAACCAGAAGAAAAAAAAATCGTCCCTTTGCTGCAGCCTGGAACCTGGGCGAGCTCCCCAGGATGCGGGGGCTGGGGCCGCACCCCAGGCGTGAGGAGGAGCCCCCAGCCCCCGCTCTGCCACGGCCCGAACACGATGAGGTATTTTAAAATAATTTCTGCTTTGATGAATTGCTGGGTAGTCCGCGATTGCTCATAATCAAAGGGAGGAAAATGCAAATGAGAGCCAGCCGAGAACTCGCGGCACCAAGCGTTTATTTCACTGCACAGTGCCAAAAAGAATTAAAACAACATTAAACTCCCAGCAATAATGTTTAAGTCCTCGTTTCCAAGTGCCAAATTGCACCACTCTGGATCATACAGATGTTCGTTAATTATGCTAATTTTTATTAAACTATTAAAACGAGGAGTGCACTGGCACAGCAAGGCAGAGCCCAGTGCAGGGTGAACTCTGCTCTCGTCTGGAGGTGCTAATTTACATCTCGCTAACGTGCTGCTGCCTGCTACCGGGGTTGCTGCGTGCCTGGGTTTTGGGGGGGGAGAGGAGAAGGAGGGAGCTCGAGGACGGTTTCACTGGAATCTACCTAATTAGACGCTAATGGGGCCTCTGCGCTCGGTACCTGCACAGACCCGGCTGGGGGGGGGAAGCAATTTAGCTGAGACTTTACAGAAGGGACTGGAAACCGCTCATCGGGGAGGGAATTGCTCCAGCGGGGTTGGTGGGCGCCGTGGGGGGAACCGGGGCCCTCTGCGGGGGGTGCTGCTGGGGGCAGCACCCACAGGTGCTGGGAGCCGCGCTGGGGGCCTCGGGGGGTCCCCAGCACCCAGCCAGGCCATGGCACAGGGCACCAGGCAGTGGCCAGGAGGAAGAGCAGAGCCTTGCACCGCGGCAGGGCCGTGCCGGCCGCTTGGGAGCCCCTCACAGCCTGGCACATGGCAGGGAACGGGGTGCGGGGTCACCCCCCCAGCACTGACCCACCTCTGCAGTGCCCAGGCTGCCCCTTTCCTACCGAGGCACCTGCCCGGCCGTCCTGCACATGTTGTGGTGCCGAGGTTCAGCCCCAAACTCAGGGACTGGCACCAAACCCTCCCCCCGGACCAGCTCTGGGCACCAAAGCTCCCTGCCCTGCTCCCTGCAGCTCCTCTCATCTCACTCCTGCTGCAACTCTCAGATTTTCTCCCAGAACGAAGAAAAACCCTCAAAGCACTTTCTGCATTTAATTCCCGAGATCCCCGGTGCCAATCGAACCCAAAAGCAGACGCTCGTTCAGATAATCGCCAACAATCGGGGCTTTTATGGCGGGCTGGTGCACGGGGCTGTAAAAGGATTTATGCTGCTAAGCTCCATCAGCAAGGGAAAAGGAGAAGGGGGGGGGGGGAAGAACCAAGACTATAACCACAAAACAAAACAAAAAAAAAACCCAGCCCCAAACCGCCACCACCTAACCAGAAGGAACAGCAAACCCATGAAAAAACCCAGCCCGGGGACATCTCCCGGCCACAGGCAGCCCCGAGCGGATTCCCCAGGGGCAGGGGGCGGGGGAGCCTGGGCAGCGCTTGCAGCCCCCGCCGGATGGAGGCTGCCTTTCATTTCTGGCTTTTCCTGCCGCTTTGTGTTTGTGCTGCCTCGTGTGCTGCAGGCTGGCCACGTCCCTGCTCTGCACGCTGCTGCCACAGAGGGTCAGAGCTGCTGACGTCCCAGCCCCAACCCCAAACCCGCTCCCGTCTGGCCGCTACCGCTCCGTTTGTCCCCGTACCTCTGGGAGAGCCAACGCTGCCAAGGAGGGGGCAGGCTGAGACCCCGAATGCTCAGCTGCAGGTTCCCTGTGTCCCCACGGCCCAAGCAGTGACAAGAACGTGGCCAACCGCCCCCTGCCCCCCCCAGCCCCGTGTAGATGGGCACCCCGTGGGACCCTAAACCCACAGCCACATCTCTCCAGCAGCACCTGCCCTGCCACACCAGGCTCTTTGGCAAGCTCAAATCATCCCGATGAACACCCCCGGGCCCCCCGCCGAGGCAGCGTGGGCTCCCTTCCTCTGCTGAGCGCTGTGGGGACAATATTCACTCCCCACGGGTGCTCCCAAGCCCTTCTTGCCACCGCGCTCCTTTGGCAGCCCTCGTAAACAACCCCTTTGGGCTCCAGGAGCACCATCCATCACCCTGCCTCGCACAGAAGATCAATGACGCTTTGATGGATGCCGAAGGAAAAGCCAATCAGTCAGGGACTTATCGGTTTATGATTGCTCGGCCCCATTATTAGTGCTTGTGTGTCATACATTATTGTTAGGAAAATGGAGGGATCTAATTCACAGCAAGGCACGGCGGGCGCGCGAGGGGTCGGCTGACACCGGGGAGTTTTATACCGGGGCAGCTTTACACCGACTCACCTCGGAAACCAGCTCCGAGCCACAGCGAGCTCTGCAACCGGGGGTCTGCCCATCCGCAGGGACCCAGAGCCCGCGAGGGCTGGGAGCGGCCTTCCCTCAGCTGGGCTGGTGCCCAGAGGGGCTTCCACCGGGGCAGAGCGGTTCAGGAGGTGCTCGCCCCACGGCCCTACCCTGACCCCCAGCACATTGGTCTTTTGTAGGGTAAATCCTTTCAGAACCAAATGGTTCCCACCTGCCTCCCGTGATTCAGCCCCCAGCTGCTGCGAGGAGCTGGGGGCACGCGGCCGGGCCCTGCTCCCCCCCCCCGCCCACACGCGGCCCCCAGCCCCCGGGGCCCCCGCGCCCCAACCCGGGGGGAGCCGGGGCTGGCAGCAGAGCGGAGCGTGGCGGTTCCCGGCGGGGGGAGCTCGGGCAGGGGGAGCTTTGGCAAGGCGAGCAGCGGGTTCCCTCGGGACACGTCCTGAGGCCTGCATGGGGAGGCCGCCCTGAGCGCTGCCGTGCAGGATTTGGCCCAGCGGCCGTTCTCCATCACACACAAGCACCCAGCCAAGCGAGGCAGCACCAGGGGCCAGGACGCCCTACGACGAGCAAGCCCCGGGGTGGTGGTGGCCGGGCAGACGTGGGGGCAGCCGGCCCCCAGCGGCTGCTGTGCCGGGGGGGCTGCGCGGGGCGCGCACAGATGGCCGCGGCTGGGCCCCCGCACGGCACGGGCAGGGGGAGCGGCTGGAGCCCCGCCAGCCGCCGGGGCAGGAGGGCCGCGAGCGGAGCGGGGCCGCGGGAGGCAGCGGCGAGTTCAGAGACAATAGCGGCGGCAGGAGCCGCGGCGCTGATGGGGCTGGGAGCTGATGTGAAACTGCCGTATTAATATTTATTCCATAAAGCGCGCGGCTCCCAGCTTTGCGCGGCTCCGCCGCGCTCTGACCGCAGTACCAACCCTCAGGCACCGCAAACACAATTTGAAAACAATGTGACGGAAATGTTTAATCTGCTCAGCCCATCTGTGCTGCGTATTTCTCCAGATCTCCCTGAGAGAGGCGCCTTCGAATCTCCACATTGCCTTTAATATTCTCCTAAATCACCTCCCCACTGCACTTCAAGGGCCATTGCTACAATATCACAGGTTCATCGAGAGTGCACGGGAGGAGGGGGGTGCAGGGAGGGGAGGGTGAGGGACGGGGGTGTCGGCTGGGAGATTTTTTATTTTAAAATATTTCCCAGGGATGGTGTTCCTGTGCCCCTCGGACAGGCGAGAGAGAGAGAGGAGGGAGAAACGAGGGGGGAGAATCAGAGCGAAGTTATTGTGCCATTGCTGGGAGGTGATCAGCGAGGCTGTTTAGAAGCAAACGGGCTGGAATAGAGCAAAAATCACTTCCAAAGAATCACTTTTATTAATCTCCTTCCTCAGCCGTCTGCCTGCGCATTCGGCTGCCTCGCTCCTCTCCTGAGAGCCCCCTCCTGCTGCCAGCAGGTGCCCGCGTGAGCCCGGAGGGGGGGGCAGCAGGGGACGGGACGGGGCAGGGCGGGGTGGGGTGGGGTGGGGTGGGGTGGCCCATCCCATCCCATCCCAGTCCCCAATCCCATCCCATCCCAGTCCTCATCCTATCCCAATCCCATCCCATCCCATCTGAGTCTCCATCCCAAATCCCATCCCATCCCATCCCAGTCCCAATCCCATCCCATCCCATCCCCATCCCCATCCCAATCCCAAATCCCATCCCATCCCCATCCCAAATCCCATCCCAATCCCATCCCAGTCCCCATCCCATCCCCATCCCATCCCAGTCCCAATCCCAGTCCCGCCCCGCTGGCAGCGGTGCCCGCCCGGCGTTGCCATGGCAGCGGCCCCGGCTTCATTTCCTGCGTCCCGCGGGGCGCGCAGCCGGATCCACCTGCTCCTTCCGACCCTCGTGGGGTCATCGTCAGGTCGCCAGAATAAATGAACGCGAGCACTAATGATGTGTTTGCTGGCTGTTTATGCTCTCTGTGTGTCAGGGGCACTCACATTTAGAGAGCTCATTATGGCTGCAATTAGACTGCACCATTGCTAGATATTTAACTCCTTTTTCTTTTAAATTAGCATTTTAATAACGTGCTTTGAGCAGGGGAAACAAAATGACCATTTTTCACGGACAAACTTCCTAGCTGTAGGTGCAACTTTAATGGCAAAGTTGCAAGGGAGGTAAAATAAGCTGAGGCCTGTTCCCCTCTACCTATTCCTTCCCCTCTCCTCCTCCTCCTCCCCGCCACGAGGAGGGGGGATTTTTATTTGCTTTATCGCA